CATATAACATCGACGATATGCAGCTCCAAGTACAAGAGATGTTACCAAAACTTCTACCCGAGCAACAAGTGGTTTATGATACAATTTTAGAGAGGATTGAGAGTAGAAAAGGAGGAATTATCTTCCTAGACGCTCCAGGTGGAACAGGTAAAACTTTTCTTATAACTCTCATATTGGCTAAGCTGAGAAAAGAAAATCACATTGCTCTTGCGATTGCATCCTCTGGCATTGCTTCAACACTTCTACCTGGTGGAAGAACTGCACATTCTGCATTGAAACTACCACTTAACCTAGCAACTGCTGAAACCACACAATACAATACAATACAATACAATATTCTTTATTGTTAATTCGTCAAGAATTACAATAGTGTCAATACAATAGTGAATTGTACATGTTAATTTTCATAAAATTCCTTTATTGAGTAGAAGGGTCTTGCAATTAGCCACTTCTTCAGCTCCTGGTGTAGCTTGTTGCCAGTCAGGTCTCTCAGGTAGTCAGGTAGATGGTTCCTCAGCTTGCAGCCGGTGTAGGAAGGTTTTTTCTCCCAAAGAGTTGTTCGGTGAACTGGTAGTGCAAATTTGGAGCCATGACGGGTGTTGTAGTGGTGCAGGTCTTGGTTTCTTGGGGGGTTTATTTCATTCACATACTTAATGGTTTCAAGTATGTAGAGAGACACCACTGTGAGGATTCCTAGGTTTACGAATGCTAGTCTGCAAGTCTGTGGTGGTACAAGGTTGGCGAGGGCTCTTATGGCTTTCTTTTGAAGGACAAGAATTCGATTCATATTTTTTGTTGAAGTTCCTCCCCACACTGTCAAGCCATATCTAAGATGCGACTCTACCAGTGCGAAGTAAGCTGTTTTGGCCACAGAGAGTCCGCCTATGTAGTTTATCCTTCTGACGACATGTATTCCAGTACTGATTTTTTTGCTTAGGTGGTTGATGTGCTCTTTCCATGTCAGTTTGTTATCAAGGATAACACCGAGAAATTTTGTGTAGTTTTCTATTGTTACATCCTCTAATTGAGGGACTATGTCTTTTTTCTTACTGAAATTCAGAGTTGTAGTTTTTGTGGGGTTTATTGCTAAGTCATTGTTCTTTGAGTAGAGGATAGCTTTATTTAAGATCGATTTTGAATTAAGGTAAAGGCTTTGGGCTGTGTTGTCCTTGATCAAAATGGTTGTGTCATCTGCATACATGATTGCAACAGCATTTTCACTCTCAATTTGTTTGGGGAAGTCATTAGTCAATAAGATGAATAGAATCGGGCCTAATACAGAGCCTTGTGGAACTCCTCTTGTCAGCTTGCTTTTTGAAGATTTGAAACTTTCTGTGACTTCTTTTGATGAGTTTTTCAGTTCCACAACTTGTGAACGTCCCGTTAGGTAGCTTTTGAACCATTCTAGCGCAGAGTTTCTTATACCGAGTCTTTCAAGTTTCTTGCCTATCAGGTCGTGGCCCAGGCAGTCAAAAGCCTTACTGTAATCAAGGAAGATAGCGGAAATGTATTGTTCGTTTTCTATCTGGTCTAGGACGTACTCAATTAGTGCTGTTATAGCTGAGGATGTAGATTTATTCTTCCGAAAGCCATGTTGGTTGTCAGTTAAGAGTTTGTTAAGATTAAGATGTGCCATTAATCTAGCCAGAGCAATTTTTTCTATGATTTTAGAGAAACTGGAGATGAGAGAAATGGGCCTGTAGTTTTGAGCATTTTCAGTTGGTCCTTTTTTATGTTTGGGGTATATTTTACTGACTTTTATGGCGGATGGGAATTTGCCTTCTTTAAATGATTTATTTATAAGATAAACCAGAGGAGAGATGAGTTCTTGAGAGCAGTGCTTTATCATCTTAGAGGAAAACTCATCTATTCCACTTGATGTTTTGGCTTTTAGGGAGTTTATTATCGTTTTAACTTCTTTATAGGATGTTGAAGTTAGGGTAAGGTGTATTGGGCAGACTGGTTCCTTTCCACTCAGCACTGTTTCAGGGTCTATAACGATTGCTCTGTTTTGGTCAAGGGTATTTTCTGCTATATTTGAGAAGAATGTGTTGAAGTGTTCGGCCATTTCTTTTGTGTGCATATACACATTCATATAGTGCAAGACACAATGCAATATCAGCAAAACCTCTGATCGAGCTGAAGTCCTCCGACGTTGTACATTACTGGTGTGGGATGAATGTACAATGTCTCACAAACGAGCATTTGAAGCATTGAATGCAACACTTCAAGACATCAGAAATAGTCAAGATTTAATGGGGGGCTTAGTTGTTTTGTTGTCAGGGGACTTTAGACAAACCCTACCAGTTATCCAACGTGGAACTCCAGCAGATGAAATCAATTCCTGTTTGAAAAAGTCTGTCCTATGGAGTCATATTGAGCAGTATCACTTGGTTCAAAATATGAGGGTAAGTCTCCATAACGACTGTGATGCCAGACAATTTTCAGGTGATTTGCTCAAGATTGGTGAAGGTAGAATGAAAACTGACCAACATAAGATGATTTCCTTCCCAGAAAACTTTGGTCACATGGTTGCTTCTGCGGAAGAGCTTATAGCAAGTGTGTTTCCTGACTTACAAAACAACCACTATGATCCTGAATGGTTATCCTGCAGAGCAATTTTAGCCCCCAAAAATGACGATGTGAACAAAATAAACAGCAAAATTATGAACATTATTCATGGTGAAGTTAAATCTTATTTGTCCATTGATTCAATTACAGAAGAGGAGCAAGCACTACACTACCCTGTTGAGTTTCTTAACACCTTGGAACTGCCTGGTATTCCCCCGCACAAGCTTGAATTGCAATTAGGAATCCCAGTAATACTACTTAGGAATTTAGAGCCACCTAGGTTGTGTAACGGTACTAGGCTTTTAATTACATCATTAAAAGAAAATGTCATAGAAGCTAAGATTTTAACTGGTTCTGCAAAGGGGGAAGAAGTACTCATTCCAAGGATTCCCATTACAACAGCAAACCTACCCTTCAATTTTAAGCGCCTTCAGTTCCCCTTAAAGGTTGCTTTTTCAATGACGATAAATAAAGCACAAGGACAGACTCTACAGGTTGCAGGCCTCTATTTGGAAACACAATGTTTCTCCCATGGGCAATTATACGTTGCTTGCTCACGTGTTTCTAGTGGAAAAAACCTGTATATTTTCACAAAAGATAGGAAAGCTGTAAACATTGTTTATAAGTCTGTATTGTAAATATATATTTTATTTTAACATGTTCATATTAAAACTTTTTCACCTCCCTTGAGTTTACTTATTTTACAATGTTTTTAATTTCAGATTTCAAAAAGCACCATTTAAACATACATCTACCCCGGACGAAGGACGGGTACTCAGCTAGTATATAATAACTGTTCAACATTTAACAAGTCCTACAAAAAAAAGACATATATTTAAATAGAAATGCAGAGCCAACCGACTAATTCTAATTAGTTACTAGCTTGTCTGTAAGAAATCAGAAATAAAAAAAAACTTAAAAATGTTGAATATCACTGAAATGCCTCTCATTAAGTGTCCAATATATAGAAAAATGTTTCCAACTCTATCAACAATGAAGTGTCATATATACTTATGACCTCATGAATGAGCGCACCACATCTGGAAGATCCATCCCAAATAGCTGCAATATGATGTTTCATACATTTACATTAATTCATTATTTGTCACTTCCTGGTTATTGGCGTTTATTGGTTTCCTGGCTGTGCGTTTAAATATGATTTTTAGCGAATTTCCCTATGAAGTAGCTATTACCGTAGGCCCGGGACCGATTTACTTTTTCATTTTGATGTCCCCAGAGGCCAAAAACACCATTCGTTCAAATTTTTTATATATATAGCCTATATATATCCTACTAATATTATAAATGAGAAAGTTTGGATGGATGGATGTATGGATGTATGGATGTATGTTTGTGACAAGTGAACGCGAAAAATACTGGTCGGATTGGGCTGAAATTTGGCATGATGATAGCTCACATTCCCGATTAACATATAGGCATATTCTTATTTCAAAAATCCTTTCGGGCTCCGCCCCAGTGGCTCTGGAGTTTCCCATGTTAACCTTATGAGAAATGGAATTATTGAACCTTAACAGCTGTTTCAATTAAACAAGTTGGTTCTGTTCTGTGATGTTCAATAGCATTAAAGTCACAAAAATTACCAACAGGGTGCAGCACTATTATTTCTTTTACATTTATGACAACAGCTAATTTGCAACCAAAAGGTGAGTGAGCGTAGTGAACGAACTTCAACCTGGAGGCGAGTTAGCGTAGCGAACGAGCTATCCTGAAGGCAAGTGAGCGCAGCGAACGAGCTCCAACCTAAAGGTGAGTGAGCGTAGCGAACGAGCTCCAACCTAAAGGTGAGTGAGCGTAGCGAACGAGCTCCAACCTAAAGGTGAGTGAGCGTAGCGAACAAACTTCAACCAGGACGTGATTGAGCCATGCAAACGAGATAATCTTGAAAATTAAGAAGTTAAACGGGGCAAAGCCCGCGGGTTACAGCTAGTATATATATATAAATAAAGATATATATATATTATTAAGTAAATCAAAATACCACAGTACCCTAAAAACATTTTATTTTTTATATATATATATATATATATATATACAGACTTAATACATAGGTGTGCTATTCCCGTCATATGGTGACGTCAATCAGATTGCATACACCATTTTTACCATGTAGAAAAATGATAAAAAAATAAAAATCAAATCAAAACAAATCTAAATAATTAATACGCTACATGAATCTTTGTCGGTTGAACTCCTCCGCCATTTTTTTGTGCGGTGTCAAAGACCAAAGTGTAACTGATGTTGCATTTCCGTTCGAACCATGTTGGAGCAATGGTTGTTTCCCCAACCTGAAGGTGACATAAAAGACTGTGTTGAACCAGAAAAATGATTTTGAAATTAAATTTTAGAAAACTAGCCTACCTAAATGTTTACAATCTATGTATATATTTAATAAAAATGGTCTTTTTCAGAATAGGCAATCAATTTGTAGAGGAAAAGGAACTCATATTCACGTCGCAAGAAAGATAATTGACAATCTGCTATTTAAATACATAAATAACAGCTAAAAAGACAGAGTTTTTACTGCCTATACTAACGGTACTACACAATGAAAGTAAGTTCACTATTTAAAACTTAAAATTTAAATTATACATAATTCTAATATGGCTGATGCAATAATATTAACAAATCCAAAAAAAAAGACAAATATTTAAATAGAAATGCAAAGCCAACCGATTGATTCCAAATAGTTACTAGCTTGTCTATTAGAAATCAGAAATAAAAAAAAACTAAAAAAAATATATAATATCAATAAAAAGCCTCTCATTAAGTGTCCAATATGTAGAAAAATGTTTTCAAGTTTATCAACAATGAAGTGTCATATATACTTACACACGGGCGAGCGTCCCTTTAGATGTTTGACTTGTGATAAAACATTTATTAAGCTACACCAAGTGTAGGCTTAATAATATATGTATTTAGCAGATACCCAAATGGCGGCATGAGAGTATTTTTAATGCATGATGCTAGACTCAAAATATATTATAATTTATTGTATTTATTTGTTCTAACTGACCGCACTACTTGAAAAGCGGCCAGTCAATTTCCAATACTGTAAATGCATGTAATAAGTTTGTTCTCAATGGAAATAAATTCATTTATTCATTTATTCATTTATTCATTTATTCATTTATTCAAATGTCATTTGTTGACACATTCTGGGAAGTGTCCTTATAAGTGCACTACATGTGGAAAATACTTCAAAACCAAGGCCACTATGAAGAATCATACAATTATTCATATGGGAGAGCGACCTCATAAGTGCACTATATGTGGAAAATCCTTCCAAACCAGCAGCAACATGAAGATTCATACATTAGTTCACACTGGAGAGCAACCTCACAAGTGTAATATATGTGGAAAATCCTTCAAAACCAAGGACAGTATCAAGATTCATACAATGATTCACACAGGAGAGCGACCTCATAAGTGCACTATATGTGGAAAATCTTTCCAAACCAGCAGCGATATGAAGAAACATACATTGGTTCACACAGAAGAGCGACCTTATAAGTGCATTACATGTGGAAAATCCTTCAAAACCAAGAGGGAAATGAAGGCTCATACATTGGTTCACATGGGAGAGCGACCTTATAAGTGCACTATATGTGGAAAATCCTTCAAAACCAAGGACTATATGAAGATTCATACAATAATTCACATGGGAGAGCGTCCTCATAAGTGCACTGTATGTGGAAAATCCTTCCAAACCAGCAGCAACATGAAGATTCATACATTAGTTCACACTGGAGAGCAACCTCACAAGTGTAATATATGTGAGGCGTCGAGAGGCCAAGGGAGATATGTGACTTTTTAAAAAATGTCATTGTATTTTTTTCATAGTCATAAAAAATAAAAAAAAATAAAAATAAATTCACTTATACCCCTTGGCTTCCAGCTCTTAGGTGTTTAGTTTGGAGGCCAAGGGATATAAGTGAATTATTTGTTGAAATTCCACCCTTTTTTAACAAAACCCGTTACCATGACAATATTTTTTTAAAAGTCACATATCTCCCTTGGCCTCTCGACGCCTCATGTGGAAAATCCTTCAAAACCAAGGACAGTATCAAGATTCATACAATGATTCACTCAGGAGAGCGACCTCATAAGTGCACTATTTGTGGAAAATCCTTCAAAACCAAGTATGAAGTGAAAGTTCATACATTTGTTCACATGGGAAAGCGACCTCATAAGTGTACTACATGTGGAAAATCCTTTAAAAGCAAAATAGGCATGAAGCAACATACATTGGTTCACACCAAGTAGAGACCTTATGTGTACTATGTGGAAAATCCTTTTGATTTAGTGGCAATATGAAGAGACATTCATTAATTATTCACATTGGAGGACCTCATGAGCGCACCACATCTGAAGGATCCATCACAAATAGCTGCAATATGATGTTTCATACATTCATTCATTATTTGTTCATTCATTTCATTTGGTTAGGTGTTCTCAAATTCTACTATTAAGAAAATGAAAGAGTCAGCATTTCACGGCCACTAAAAATGTTTCTGGAGCCGCACCTGTCTCTAGACCTTTTAAAGAGCTTAAAAAAAAAAATAACTTAGTATATCAAAGTGTTTTTGTACAATCATTGGTAACGAAGAAAATTAAAAAAAAAACTGTAAATTTAAAATTTCTATGTTATTGTTATGGAGAATATTGTAAAATGTTGTAGTTTGCTTGTTTATGGATATATTTTGATCAAACTTGGCAAATTGATTTATTGTATACTATCCTTAAGTTTTACCAAAAAACAAACTTTATTAATTTCCTTGTAGCAGCAAACCCAGATACTCATTACACCTAATGTTTTTTTAAATAGATTTAATTGAAAGTCAATTGAGACAAATGGAAGTTTGCTTGGTTGGAAAGTTTACTGTGGCGGGGGTATTTTTTACACTGAACCCTGTTTATTGTATTCTTAGAGGAAGATGAAATCTTAAAAAAAAATAATTTGTTTTGGATTTCATGTAATTGGTGCTCAAAGTCAGCGTTTTGGTTCATAAATAGGAAAAAACAAAATTGTTTTTAACAAATTTTAAAAATACTACACACCCTCCTACATGTACCTTAAAAACCTCAATCAATTTATATAGCAAATATCAAAATATAATTTTTTACAAGCCCAAAGAAACCTACATTTAGATCTGATAGTTTTAACTTATCAATTAAAAAAGTTTACGTATTTGTATGATTTACGTGTTATAGTTGAGTAAAGTTTCAGGGTGTCTACCAACCGGGAAAACCGGGAATTGTACTTAATTTTTTATTGGCCATGAAATGTACGGGAATTGTCCTTAAATGCCAGACTATGTCCTTAAATTTTTATTGGGCCATAATTTTATTGATCGCTAGTTGGTTAGGAGCACATAAAAGGTTTATCAGATGTTTGTTTACATTTTCATAATTTATTACTATAGTTATTATGCAATAAAAATCCCATTAGCAATTTCAAACCCATTAATATTTTATCACGACAATCAAGTGTCAAGTCAAGTACTTCCAAGAACTGTTGACTCAGTTATAGCTCATAAAAGTTGTATCACTTTTATTCCTTTACAACTTCTTTTTTTATTACTAGGGTAATTATTATGAGATCCCAAACCTATTTTATCGTGAAAATAATAGATTTATAATGGCTGTTAAATTTAACTTCTTACTTGTACTTTGGCTTGAAGATTCGATTTGCCGCGGCCATTGCCTAGTGCCATAAAACTGTTTATAGTTTCATATTAAACATGTAAATAATCTACAGTTTTATTTTGTAAGTTAACCCTTTTTTTATGGATATTTGATCTTTTAATTGACAAAACCACAAGCAATGTTGTTTGCATTAATGTTTTATCACTATGTAGGCCTGCTTGGTTTCAAGTTATGTCATTGCATTTTCTGTATCTTTGTCTTATATTGTTGGCTATTCAGGTTTCAATGTTTTTTGTTTCCCATATATTTATTTATTTTGGGTTGTATGCTTTAAGCAATCTAAATCTTATGAACTAGAATGATGATAGTGACTTTGCTGCTATTATAACCTCATTGTTTGTTACCCAGTTTATATAGGCCCTCCTAAATAAATAGGTCTAGGCCTGGGTATTTTGATTCTTGAAAGAGCTGTAAAATATATTAAGAAAATGTAATTGAGCCTAGATAAACAATTAATGATTGCTATGTGTCTATATTAACTTTGCAAATGAAAATACAATAATCTTACTCTGTGCTTATTGCTTATTGGTAGCCGCTTACCATACCTTGATTTTGTACTAAGAACTGAGTAACAATATGCATTAAAGATTTTTTTCAAAAGTAGTCGAGAGCCTAACGTTGTGCCAGGGCGAATCATGCCAAATTAATCCGCCTGGATTGGATAAGCTATGTTATGAAGTTTACGTGACCGATGGAGATATTTGTCGCTATTGCAGGAGACAATGATTGCGTTTCTCGGTTACACTATAAAAGCTTTACCTAAAGTATAGGTAGGCCTATACTTGTTTACTTTCAATAAATTTCTATTTTGAAATTTTTAACTCTTATCTATTGTTATTTACTGTTCTCTCTGGTACAACTACAGTAAATAACAAGATTAATACAGTTTGACAAATCAGGAAAATTATTCGAAAGACCTAATGACACCGACAAAGGTTACGACAAAGTGTCCTTAAATGTACGGGAATTGTCCATGAATTTTTTATCCAGAATGTAGTAGACACCCTGAGTTTGGTTTGGCTATGTAAGTTGGAGATAACCTGGTTCATGTACCTTTAAAGCCATGTAAAACGCTCGGTAGATCAGGCACGCACACTAAGATAGTTTTACAAGCGCTCGGACTCGCACGCGCCAGTATCTCCCCCCTTCACCCCCTCGCCACGCCCAGCCGACTCCTCCGAGTTTTTATTATATTTAACCTATTTGTAAGTTTATTGAACGGAACATATCTTTACTTAGAAATCTCCTCAAAAGTGGATAGCTTCATTAAGTGCACATAAACAGCGGGAACTGAGCAAAGGACGCAAATTTACAAATGGCGGGTCACATCACTTTTGTTCGTCTCAAACTTAAGTTTAAATAAACGGATATTTCGCTTGTAACCGGAAATGTGCATTTCCGTTTGGTCATTATCTAATGCACAATTGAACAGTACAATAATCAAATCTCAAACAAATCTCTCTCTGTCCAGTAGGGTTTCAGCTCTCTGGATTGGAACATCACAAAGAACAGAACAGAAAAGAGAGGTTAAGGTACTGTAAACAACTTGACAGTTTAATTTACTGACAACAGTGACAACCTGCGTCTTTTGAGGCCGTAGTAGCCTACAGCACTTTAACACTCTCGCAGAATTAAATTGTACTAGTGCCAATCTTTGACGAGTATAGTATAGATAGTTGAGTTCACGCGCTCGAGGATCGATGAACGATGACATGCTAATTGTACAGTTAACCAAATAGGTTAATACGTTGGTTTCCTTTAGTTTTCCTTAAAATTACTAACAAGTATTCTTCCACGAACTAAACATTAGTGTGGAAAGGCGAAATTTCATATTCCATATATAATATTTCAAACGCCTGACCTACAAAGCGGGACATTTAGGCGTCCCCTGGCCGATTGTAGCGGGTCGTATGGCCACGTTAACTATGGATGTTAAGATTATGATACATTTGTCTTATAGAGGTCACGTTTGTCTTGTAGAGGTTTTGTGCTAAGAATATTCGTTGTATAGAGGTTAATCAGTCCTAGCCCATGTCACAAACAAATTCGTCTTATGGAGGGTTTTAACTTAATTACTACGTTGTATAGAGGTGTTTTTAGCATTAACCTATATGAAAGTGTCAAGGGGATAAAAAAAAATCGTCTTATCGAGGAATTCGTTTTATTGAGGTTCGTACAAACAAGGTTCAACTGTACTAAAAAACCTAACACTTTTTGAAATGAACAATGATTTTATTGATGTAGAAATTAACAAATGATATTAGTGGACAATATAATTGAACTATGGTGAAATAAATTGCTAGAACTAAACTAATGCGGTTGTAACTAAATGTGAATTAAGACCAAAAGTGAGGTACGTGGAGGGAACTGCCTCTTACGTCCTATACAAAGCTATGTGAAGTTAACAATGTGATTATATATATAGATAGACTAGCAGAGTACCCGTTCTTCGTACGGGGGTGGCGTATAAGTATAAAATGCTAAGTGCTTATTGCAGTTATACTCTAGCTTTGCGTTTGCAATGGGGGAGGATAAGGCTTGTGAGAATTTGATTCTTTATATTTACAGTATGCTATAGTATTACATACTGTATATATTACTGTATAGTATATTCAATATAGTATTACTAATCTACCATAGCCTTTCTGTTCTATCACTGCACATAAACAATATAAAAAAGTAAATCATTCACACAATATCACAAATTATGTATTAAATTAAAAACATAAACATTACTTTAAACAATCCTACCTTGATAGGAGACTGATTGGGTTAGACACCAGCTACCTACGCACACCCCCGTGAACACAATGGGGACAATAAATGTGGTAAGGTAATAATAATGAATCTTATCACTTTGAGATCGATAGTTGGTGTGGTGTGTGCACTCAATGCTGCCTCCCACTTCCTAGAACATTCATTTGCTCTCGGCTCCTATTGTATTAAACCATTGACTAAACATAACTTGTACAGTACATGCCGAGAAGGTTAGGTTTCAGCAGTCTGAACCCACTGTTCTAAAATATAATATTACTAGCTGTTTTGCCACCTCTTGGTTCGGGTAATGTTTTGTAAAATAAATTTTAGAAATACAGCTGTAAAAACTCAGACGACGGAAATTAACTGCCAATTAAATGGTGTACAAGTCTAATCACTTTGAAATACAGCAATGGAACCATATACAGAGTTATACAGGGTGTCCACATTCTGGAAAGTCAGGGATAGTCATGGAAAGTCATGGAAAAAAATTCTGGTCATTGAAAGTCATGGAAATAGGCAAAAGGTCATGGAGAGCCATGGAAATCCCCAATGATGGATGGATTTCAGAGGTCCTTTCAATGATCTAGTGGGCCGTAACCCCGACTATTGTAACATTTTTCCGAATTTTTCACAAATGTACGACAATTCAATTTATACAGTTGTCTTAGTTTATGGGTTTTGAGTTTGTAGGCCTATTTAGTTCATTGTTGTACCTGTTGTACGCCATTGTTATCTGTTAATACATATTTTAGTATTTTCTATCTAGGCAGTATTATAATTTGTGTGTTTACGGTATATTATAATTTGTTAGTAAAGTTCGTGAGTCATGGAAATCAATGGTTAATGGTCATGGATAGTCATGGAAAGTCAGGGAAATTAATGACAAAATTTCTGTGGACACCCTGTTATAAGAAGGATGGAGGACAAAGTCAAGGATTATACATAATTTATTTTCTCCAATTACTATCCACTAGTCATTGCGGGTAAATGTGGTTGTTCCAATCGCCGGTCCATCATCCTGTCATTGTGTCTCTTATTTTGTCATCTCTTACATTGTCAAATGTAGTTTTGTAGTTTTATTTGTAACAGTTTTCGTGCTTCTGTTAAAATTAAACTTATGCTAACATAATTTTTCACAATATACAAATTAATTCATATAGATATGAAGTATTCTTGTTAATTGTTGTTAATATTAGCCGTCAGTCATGGTAAAAAATACAAGGTGTCTGTCAGTTGGTTAAACTAAATTTCAGTGACTTGAAAATGAGATGGTCAGGCATGCAATAAGCCTATTTTTAAATGGAATATTATTTATTTACTCAGTCAAAGTAAAGGCCACAAGGCCCGTTTTTATTTTGTGCCGTATTGTAACAATATTGTTTTTGTTTAAAATGGCTGACATCTAAGACAAGTTGTAGCTCTTGGTCTCAGTGCAAATAGGGACATTGGGACTATTTTTATTTTTATACCAGTTGTATCGGTCTCGGTATCGAATCAAGCGATACCTGATCGGTATCTAAAGAAAATACCCAGTTTCGGTATTCCATGATATATACCATGACTGAATGTCTTTTGTGCGGTGTCAAAGACCAAAGTGTAACTGATGTTGCATTTCCGGTCATGTTGGATCTGTGGTTTTTTCCCCAACCTGAAGGTGACATGAAAGACTGTGTTGAACCAGGAAAATGATTTTGAAATTAAATTTAAAAAACTAGTCCACCTAAATGTTTTAATCTATGTATATATTTAATAAAAATGAACTTCAACCTGGAGGCGAGTTAGCGTAGCGAACGAGCTCCAACCAGGACGTGATTGAGCCATGCGAACGAGATAATCTTGAAAATTAAGAAGTTAAACGGGGCAAAGCCCGCGGGTTACAGCTAGTATTTAATAAAAATGGTCTTTTTTCAGAATAGGCAGTCGATTTGAAGAGGAAAAGGAACTTTTATTCATGTTGCAAGAAAGATAATTGACATAATCTGCTATTTAAATACATTAAACGGCAGCTAAAAAAAGTTGTTACTACAATAAAAGTACTACACAATGAAAGTAAGTTCACTATGTAAAACTTAAAATTCAATTTATACATAACTTTTACATGGCTGATGCAATATTATTAAAAAACTACATGAAATATAGAAGCAAAGTTTTCTTAAATAAGCTAATTTAACTTGATGGTACATCAAAGTCAAGACAAAAAAGCAAATTGCCTCAAGTAGGCTATGTTGTTTGATAATTATAATACAAATAATATTTGAGCAAGGGTTGATGAAATGTTATTGATACATATATATAATAACTGTTCAACATTTAACAAATCCTACAAAACAAGGCATATATTTAGATAAAAATGCAAAGCCAATCGACAAACTCCAATCAGTTACTAGCTTGTCAGAAATCAGAATAAAAAAAATGTTTAATATCACTAAAAATCTTACAAATAAGTGTCCAATATGTAGAAAAATGTTTTCAACTATATCATCAATGAAGTGTCATATATACTTACACACGGGCGAGCGTCCCTTTAGATGTTTGACTTGTGATAAAACATTTATTCAGCTACATCAAGTGAAGTGTCATTTGTTGACACATTCTGGGAAGTGTCCTTATAAGTGCACAATATGTGGAAAATCTTTCCAAACTAACAGCTATATGAAGACTCATCATACAACAGTTCACATTGGAAAGCGACCTCATAAGTGCACTTTATGTGGAAAATCTTTCCAAACCAGGAGCCACATGAAGAATCATACATTGGTTCACATGGGAGAGCGACCTCATAAGTGTACTATATGTGGAAAATCCTTTAAAAGCAAAATATATATGAAGCGACATACATTGGTTCACACTAAAGAAAGACCTTATAAGTGCACTATATGTGGAAAATCCTTCAAAACCAAGAATGAAATGAAGCTTCATACATTGGTTCACATGGGAGAGCGACCTCATAAGTGTACTATATGTGGAAAATCCTTCAAAACCAGCAGCAGTATGAAGAATCATCATACAATGGTTCACATGGGAGAGCGACCTTATAAGTGTAATGTATGTGGAAAATCTTTCCAAACCAACGGCTATTTGAAGATTCATCGTACAACGGTTCACATGGGAGAGCGACCTCATAAGTGCACTATATGTGGAAAATCCTTCAAAACCAGCAGCATTATGAAGAATCATATATTGGTTCACACGGGAGAGCGACCTCATAAGTGCACTATATGTGGAAAATCTTTCCAAACCAGCAGCCACATGAAGAATCATACATTAGTTCACATGGGAGAGCAACCTCATAAGTGTACTATATGTGGAAAATCCTTTAAATGCAAAATATATATGAAGCGACATACATTGGTTCACACTAAAGAAAGACCTTATAAGTGCACAATATGTGGAAAATCCTTCAAAACCAAGGATAAAATGAAGCTTCATACATTGGTTCACATGGGAGTGCGACCTTATAAGTGTAATGTATGTGGAAAATCCTTCCAAACCAACAGTATTTTAAAGACTCATCATACAATGGTTCACATGGGAGAGCGACCTTATAAGTGTAATGTATGTGGAAAATCCTTCAAAACCAGCAGCAGTATGAAGAACCATCATACAATGGTTCACATGGGAGAGCGACCTTATAAGTGTAATATATGTGGAAAATCTTTCCAAACCAACAGCTATATGAAGATTCATACATTGGTTCACACAGGAGAGCAATGTACGTGATTGGTGGTTCTGAACCTGGAACCCTGACTGACAAATTGAGAAAAAATCTTATTCCTCTATAGAGCTATGCTCTAGAGCCAGCAACCTAATTCCTGCTAAACTCTAACTAAAATCTAACTAATCTAAAACTAAGGATTCATCTTGATGCCATCTTCCCTTAACAACACCCTAAATCAAATATCCAGCCTGTTTTAGGCCTGTGAGAAGGCGATCAAAGTGAGTACCTATGAGGAGATAGAAAAGATAAAATAACAGTTCTTCAGCTGTACCTAATTTCTGGTTTTATTAAGATTTTGAATAATTTAAATTTTATATAACTTGCTTTGAAAACTTAAACATGGTAGATACAAATTTAAATAATTACAAAACAAACCTATCTGTTTTTATGACACTGAAATTTACATTACAGTACTTGTAATTTTATATATACAACTAGCTGTACCCGCAGGCTTTGCCCCGCTTAACTTCATAAGTATAAATAATATAATGTACAGAACTACCTTAGCTTGTTAAATAATCATAGTTTTATATTTGTTGTACAAAATCCAACTAAAATTACCAACACTTCTAAAACGCTTGTTGATCATACTTTTATCACACATGCCAATTTAAATATATTCAATAATTAACTGATCACTGTTTATTAGGTTTAAAGATGTACTATTCAAATAAGAGCATTATATCAAAAGAGCAAGATAGTTCATCCTATTTTCAAAACACTGTGAACTATGATTTAGTGAATAGGAAGTGAAAACTGGGAAGAATGTTTCATTACAAATGACGTAAATTATAATTACAACATATTTAATGGAAAACTAGTGTCTATTGCAAGTAATTCTATGTTAAGCTTCTATTTGAATGGTAAACCTTGGTCAACGGGAAATAAGTTCTGTTCTCTTTGTAATATGGGCGAAATTGAAACCACATTATATTTCATCGCTATATGTCCAATTTTAAGTAATCTTAGATTAACATTTTTACACAAAAGGGTCCTTTCTGAAGGGGATTATATTATTTTTTTAAATGGCAGGGATTGGCGAGTGTTAGTAAATTATTTAAAAAAACGCCTGGCAATACAGGTGGATTTTAATACAAGAATTTAACAATTGAAAAAAATATCATACAAATTTAATCATCCAAACATCTCAACACAAAAAAAACGATAAAACTATAGGAATTTAGAGAAACTGGTTAGATTGTATTTATATTTCTTAACTTAACTTTTTTATTTTAAAGGAATCCAATAACTGTTTTGTTAGATTTAGTTTTAGACGTGCCAACCCGGCAGACGACCTAGAGGTTATTGCTGTAGTGCGTAGGCACGTCCCCTGCGTGGGACAAATTAACTTGTATTGTGCACTGGGTATTTTGAAAATAAAACGCTTTTTCTTCTTCTTCTTCTTCTTCTTCTATTTTCAAAACACTGTGAACTATGATTTGGTGAAAAGAAAATTAGAAAGTGAAATATGGGAAGAATGTTTCATTACAAATGACGTAAATTATAGTTACAACATATTTAATGGAAAACTAGTGTCTATCGCAAGTAATTCTATGTTAAGCCGTAAACAAAACAGACTACATAAGGCAAAATCTTTCAGACGCTGGATAAATTCAAACCTGATTAAAAGATTAGATAAGTGTAAACAATTGTATGCTATACATAAAAAAGAACTTATGACTTAACTTTCAATAATTATTTCAATCGTTTCTGTGAGAAATTACAAACAGATATAGATACAACAAAAAATAATTACCTAACAAATAAAATTAATAACTGTAATGGTGATTCTGCTCAATACTGGAAGGTAATCAATAATACAATAGGCTGGAAAACGGCACTGTTTTAAGTGATCCAAAAAATGTGGCTGAAGAGATAAATAGCATAGATAAATCATACTTCCTTGCTTAGGCCTCTTTTATGCACAGCCTTTTCCGTCGGTCGGAATCTATCAGAATCTATCGGACTTTCCGTCGATGAGTGTTTTAACATGGTGTCAAATGGGACCCTTTTATGCACAACGGAATCTCCGTCGCGTTTCAGCGTTCCGTCGGCGCCGAGTTTCGGCGTTTCGTCGGAGCGTGTTTTTACATAGGTTCAAATGGAACCCTTTTATGCAACTGCGTTTTCCGTCGGGCGGAACGTAGTGCTGCCTGCCTACCCCACGCTCTGAATTTTGAATTTGAATTGAATTGAAAAATTCTTTATTGTTCTTTTCAAATACAACAGGTACAATACAATACATATTTATACACTAAGATTGTACATAAGTATTACATTAATATTACATGTTATTGTATTTATTCAAATATAAATTAAAAACAATATACTCTTCACAACATAACTAATTATTTTATTAAATAACGAACAATAAAGCCCTGAGGTTACAGAAGCTGTGCGGGAAACAAACATTTTTGGTAGTTGGAGCAACTCGTGGTTGGAAAGTCCAGCCCGTCTCCATTACCTCTGTCATCCAAAGTATTGAAATCGCCTCATTATAAATAGATTATCATTATTCATTGTAATTGATTGAAGAGTACAAATAAAGAGATGTAATTGGGGAAAAATTACTCCGTTAGAATTACATTTCTGTTTAAATCCACGGAATAATACAAACTTACTGTTTTGTAGGAATAATACTACTTTATTCCCCAGACTGACATGGGAATTTTTGTATCAAAGGTATACCCGGGATTGATATGGGAATTGTTGTACAAATGGCAATCACACCATCTCATTGGCAACCCTGCAGTACTGCCAACACTGTCATTGCTTTCAACCCTAAGACTTTCATTCACCGGGTGTACACTGTACAACCCACCTCCATCGCCGCCGTCTTTTTTTCTTTACGCCACAAATGGGTATAAACCAATAAACATGGATCCATCTTGGATTAATGACTATGGAAAAATGAACATAGTTGGCAGCAATGACTACCCCCACTGCGGGCATCATAAAAAACTAGCATATTCCGCTCGGCGGAAAAACTGCATAAAAGCATAAAAGGGACAACGATTCCCCCTGACGATTTCGCCCGACCAAAAACGTCGTGCATAAAAGAGGCCTTAAGCTTGGTTTTCCTAGGCGCGGAAGCGGAGAGCAGAGAGAGGAATGCAGAGAGCGGAATAGAGATTAACATAGCATTCCACTCAGCTTCTAGGAAAACAGTAACATTAAATTACCTAGGACAAGTATTGTTAATTGCTTAAAAAACAAATAGACTGTTACAAAGATATAAGCATTTTAATAACATTAAAACCCTGACGCAAATATGCGACGGCAGTCTATTTTAATGTGACTAGCCGTCGCATGCAACGGCAGTCTATGGGTG